GACCCAATTTACAAGAACATCAGGTGGTGTGCATGTGCAAACATGGGCGTTCTGCAGCACCATCTCCCACGTTGAGTCTGCGGCGTGGTTTTTGGACGCGCAGTGGAAGCAGTTAGATTGCATCATTGGGCTGCACAGTGGAAGAACATACATCTTGAGCTGTGAACTTTTAAACCCTGCAATTTCATCTTACAGTTTGAGCTCTAGCTGAGTGCAAAGATTGAAAATATCATACAGTGTATGCCCGGGTTTATGTTTATTACCAAGGGCTTTATGGAAATCTCCGTCTTTAGTGATTAACTTTTAAAATGCCAATGTCATGCTTGTTTGTTTTCCTCTTGGTACAGTGTAGACTGATCCCAAACTGGTTCTGGTACCCTTTGATAACCAGTTCCTGCCTGGTCACCCCAATGAAAATTGTCTGGCTATGCCACAGCTCAGGACAGAACCCCGTCCAGGTCAGATTAAAGTAAATATACTACTGTTTGAGTAGTGTTCAAAAACCTTTGCAGAAGCCAAACCTGTCAATTTGTAAAATGGTCATGTCTCGTCCGCAGGACCTACACTGACTCTCTGCTTTATTAGACACACCTATTCAACTGCTCTTTGACCAACTCAATGCATTTAGGCATGTAGATGTTGTCAAGACGATCTGGTGGCGTTTAAACCGAGCATCACGATGGGGAAGAAAGGTAACGTGACCATGAACGTGGCATGGTTGTTGGTGCAAGATGGGCTGGACGAAGTATTTCAGAAATGACTGATCTACTGGGTATCTAGGGTTTTTTTTTTCTAGGGTTTACAAAGAATGGTAAAAAATAAAAGAAGATATCCAGAGAACGGCAGTTCTATTAGTGCAAATGCCTTGCTGATGCCAGAGGTCAGAGGATAATGGGAAGACATGTTTGAGGTGATATAAAGGCAACAGTACCTCAGATAATCATTCAATGTCCTGCAATGTCCAGTCAGACTTAACTGTTATGGACCAGAAGGAGAGAGAACAAAAAAATGCACTCCCCCTCTCACCCCCAATTCTGAATTAAAATAAAAATATTCAGATGTTTTCCCCCTTCTGAAGGTGTCCTTGTTCATGCAATACAATAGATAGGGTCCAATCCCCCATCTTTGGACTTAATAAACATGCCGAGCACACCCAGTTAATTTTGCATCAAAATGAAAAGAGGAAAGGATGTGAGTGACTTTAAATTAGGGTTCATTGCTGGGCCACAGATGGCTGCGGCTCCTGTTGCAGACTGCTGCAGGCTACCGTTTCCCAACCGACAGCGGCTAAAGTGACATCGGCACTTAAATGTAAGGGGAAGACTTGAGTAAAAGGATGGAAACGGAGGGCTAAAGTGGTTATTTGATGACAGAAATGCTCGAGCATTAGAGTGATTACAGAGAGCGGAAGAGACGCCATTCCTCATGCAGAGGGCATTGAGGCCCTTCTGTGACATCCCAATAATTGTTGATTTTATTTTCATTTGTAAGAACCAGGAGTCCCAGCAGAAACCTGAGTAGTAGCTTTTTGACAGAAAATATGAGCTTTATGGAATCATTAATTCATTCAAAGCTGACAACTTAAGACATGACTCACAGAAACTGTATTTCAGAAATCTCTCTTATGCATTTTAAGGATATGTATAATAGTGTAAAATAGATTTTTGAATAGCTTTCTGCATGTTAAGAGACAAAAATATGACAGTTTTAGTGACTCTATGAGGATGAAAACATCACAGTTGTAGATTGTTGTTTTCTTACTGAAATCTGGCCTTGAAGGAAAATAAAAAATGTTGAGGGTGGGGAGGTCATCTTTTCTGACTTAAGTGGAGATATTCGGAGAATGTATTAAAATAAAGAGGAGAAAATGTGTATTTA